CCGCCCGGGCCCCGGACGTCCCGGTGCTCCTGGGAGGGGCCGGTTCCCGTGTCGGCCGGCTGTTGGAAGGCGGTCAGCAGCCCTCCCCCACCTCTGCGCCGGGCCGGCCCCTGTGCTCCCCCAGCCCTGCTGTGGGCCTGGGACCTTGCACTCCCGGCCCCGGAGCTGAGTGTGTAAGTGAGCCGGTGTCTTCCTGACACAGGAGCCCGGGCACAGGTGTCTGTTAGTGACGCAAACGGACTAAGGCTGGGGACACACCGTGAGGGCTGGCCACGCTACAGCCTCGGCCTTGCTGCTCCTTATCTGGTCTCGGCTTCCTGGGGGGGTCTGGGGATGACGGGTCTGCCCTCTTTGGCATTGTCCCCATGGCTGACTCTGTGGCTCCAGAAGGTTAATCTCCAGGGAGTCACCACCTCCGGGCACTCGCGTGATGCGTCCTCTTCAAATGTTTTCTCATTTTGCCTTTCATCAGTAAATATTTGGCCTGTCTTTTCTTTCTAGTTCATGTTTTTTCATTACTTGCAAAGATGTTAAGTCAGGAGCCATTAGTTTCATACCACCGCTAATTTGGATCCTTAATCTCTCTCTCACCCCTCTTGCTGTGTTCACACCTCCTGCTCCCGTCGGCCAGCCTGTGGGCTGCCCTTGCATCTTCTCGCAGCCTCCTCCTGGCAGTCCATGCCGAGCTGCCTCCGTCGGACCCCGTTTCCCGCACAGCCTGTCCCCTGTCGCCCTCTGAGCAGTCTTTTTGGCAGGGGGTGGGGGTTGGCTCCTCTCTCCACCAAACGTGAGTCCTGCCGGGTGTGCTGTGTGCTGAAACGCCCCTCCTGGGTTTACGTCTTCGGTTTTCCGGGACCTAAGCTCGCACCCTGCATGGAGTGGTTCTCAGGTGGTGTTCGAGGGGCAGCAAGGAGGAGTGGGGGGCAGCTTGGATCGGAAGCCCCCTTGGTAGCAGGGATGAGGCCTGGGACTAGCCACCTGCTGTCGGTCCCACTTCCCCATCTGACGTGGTGTGGTCGGCTCCGTCCTGAGCGCCCCCCTGCTGGCGGCTGTGACCCCCCCCCCCCGAGCTCGCTGGCATTTGTTTCTCTGCTGCCGCTTCTTTTTAAAGAGATCTTTGCCGTAGGGTGTGTGCACTCACTGGAGAGACAGAAGGTGAGAAATCTCCCCGGGGACAGCCGTGCTGCAATCCCTTCTCTTCCATTCTCTTCTGGGATTTTGGGCACACACACACATGTGCCCGGTGAGTTTTGAGCCGCCGGGTTTGGGACTTGAACCACTGGGTAGTCCACTCTGCCACCTGCTGGTCCCTATTTATCTTAATGAGGGCTTTCTCACGGGTATACTGCTAGATCTTGATGACATGGAGTCAGGGTTCCGGGGTAATAGATTGTTGTCACTGTCGCAACCCTGTCAACACTGCTGCTGCCACTTCTGTTCCACCACCGTCACCACTGATAGCGTCGCCACCATCCACCCCCACCGCCATCACTTCACCATCCCCACCACTGTCACCAGCACCGTGAATACCGTCACCAGCACCCTCCCCACCACCATCGCATCACCATCGCCACCACCGTCACATCACCACAGTCATCACTGTAATCACCGATACCACCACCAGCCGTCACCACCACCATGAATACCATCACTAGTTCCACTGATGCCACCGCCACCACCACGGCCACTATCAGCAATGTCGTCACACTGTCACCACTGCTAACCATCACTAATACCACCACCCCCAGTCCCACTTCCACCTCTGCTGCCGTCACCACTGCCGGCTCCTGTGTGTCCTGGTGGCGGCCGTATGTCTGTCATCGCGTCTCACAGTCCCGTCCCTCCCCATCGCGGAGACGGAGGGACCGAGGCACTGACCGGGTCCCTGTCATGTGGTCTGCCGTAGGCCGGCACTCTCAGTCTAGGTCCCGCGGTCACTGTGTACTCCCTCAGCTGGTTTCCTTTGCCTTTGTGACCACACCACACAGCTAACCAGCTTCTGTCCATTGTTATGTGACATAGCTTCCCTGCCCTGGTGACATGCTTCCCTCCCCTGGTGACGTGGCTTCCCTGTCCTGGTGACATGGCTTCCCTCTCCTGGTGATGTGGCTTCCATGCCCTGGTGGTGTGGCTTCCCTCCCTCTGGTGGCGTGGCTTCCCTGTCTGGTGATGTGGCTTCCCTGTCCTGGCGACGTGGCTTCCCTGTCCTGGTGATGTGGCTTCCCTGCCCTGGTGTCGTGGCTTCCTTCCCCTGGCGACGTGGCTTCCCTGTCCTGGCGACGTGGTTTCCCTGTCCTGGTGATGTGACTTCACTGCCCTGGTGACGTGGCTTCCCTGCCCTGGTGACGTGGCTTCCCTGTCCTGGCGACGTGGTTTCCCTGTCCTGGTGATGTGACTTCACTGCCCTGGTGACGTGGCTTCCCTGCCCTGGTGACGTGGCTTCCCTGTCCTGGCGACGTGGCTTCCCTGTCCTGGCGACGTGGCTTCCCTGTCCTGGTGACGTGGCTTCCCTCCCCCTGGTGGCGTGGCTTCCCTCCCCCTGGTGGCGTGGCTTCCCTGCCCAGTGACGTGGCTTCCCTCGGCCTTGGTTTCCCATACCTTAGGAGAGAGAAAACAAAAGCACCTCATGGGGCTGCCAGGAGTCACACTCGCTGGCACCTAGCATAGCAGGGTCAACACGCAGATGAGATTTTGTAGGTACAGAGGCCGTGGCATGGTAAACCGTTATTACTCCAGAGTGCTCTCGGCAGACACTCACTGAAAACTGCCCACGTGTTAGGCTCTGGCTTGGGCACTGGATGTCCAGGCTGAGCAAGGCATGGGCCCTGACTCTGCGGAACCCCGTTCAACGGCGGAGACAGACTACAGACATGCAGTTAGAGGCCAGGCTCCCTGCCGGGGTGGGGGGGAAGCACCCACGGGCAGGACCAGGTGAGAGCGAGTGTGGGTGGAGAAGGTTCACAGCCTTAAAACATAGTGAAAGAGAGGAACTACAAAAAGCGAAGTGGCTTACCATTCAGAAGTTAGACAAAGGACGGCGTATCCGCAGAAGGAAGCCACTGATAGAGTTACTAGAGTGCCGTGTGAGTCAGAACGAAGAAACGGGACTGGATTTTGAAACAGTAGGGCCGGGCAGTGGCTCAGTAAACTGTGGCCGTCCATGAAGCGGCTCACTGGGCAGCTCCAGGACGGCATCGGAAGACCTCTGGGACTGTGCCGGGCCCCCTGTGTCCACGACCCAGGTTGGCAGAGGCTGTCAAGACCCGGGTGGGGGAAGCTCTCTCTTGCTGTCTCCCACTTGTGGAAGGAATAAGTAAACGTTAAATAAAATGAGAAAATTCTGTAGGCGCGCTACTACTGGCTAACATGGGTGAGAAAGAAAGCACGGAAACAAATGAGAAATAACAAGGGGAATAAGTTACCCACACCGACCAATTTCCACGGGAGACAGAAAGTTTTTAAGCTACTTCTGCACAGAGCTTGAGGCTGGATGGCTTCGCAGGGGAATTCAAACAAAATCTTTAAAGAACAGGTACTTTCAATGCCAATTAAACTGTTCCATAGCAAAGAAAAAGAAGAAAAATTCGATGTAATTTTCATAAAGTGAGAATAATGTTTAAAAATCTGACAAAGATTATATAAAAACAAAACTATAGTCCTGTCTCATTTATGAATATTCATACACAAATTTAAATAAAATATTAGCAAAAGGATAAAAACATTAAAATAATACCCTATACTCACTTGGCATTTATTATAGGAGTGTAAGAATGGTTTGATATTAAGAAATCTACTTGGGTCTGTTAGGTGGTATGGTGGTTAGGGGCACTGGACTCCCACATGGCTGACTGTGGTTCAAGTCTCAGACCTGGTGGCTTGCTTTCTCACTTTCCCTCTCTCTCTCTCTGTCTGTCTCTGATCAAATTGGAAAATAATAATAATGACAATAAATAAAGTTAAATAAAATAATTCTTAAAAACAAAGCTACTTATACAATCCATTATATTAATCAATACAAAGAGATGATTTCTCAGGCTGCCGAGTCTGGGACTCAAACTGTGGTCAGCTATGTGGGAGTTCAGCTGCCTTACCACCATGCTACCTTCTGGCCCTGAGGTGATTAACTTTTTGAAACCTAAAAGGCATTTAACAAAATTTAACATCTATTCTTAAAAAGCACTCAATAAAACAGGAATGAAAGATACTTTTTAAATATAACTGTATTATATACAAAACCCAGTCTTTTTCTTAATTGTGGAAACTCTAAAGTTAAAAAAAGCAAGAATAGCTACTATCACTGCCACCATTTTGTATTGTAGCAAAAGCGTTAGCCAATGCAATCAGACAAGAAAAGAAGCATCGTGAAAGATCCGAGAGAACAATGAGAAACTACAACCAACAAGATAGTCCTATCATCTGTGTCTCTCTCTCACAGCAGTTATAAACAGCACCTATTTATACGTTGACAAAAATAAAACATACTATCTAAGAATAAACTTAATGAGGAATGTGCAAAATGCAGGTACAACAAACTTACAGCACTCCTAGAGAACATTTCTCACACCTGAATAAACTCTAAAGAGAGCACAGTTGTTTTTTTGAGGGATTTTTGCGATAGGTCACATGCGCTCACCTGAGGGATAGAGACAGAGAGGCAGAAAGTGAGAAATCACCCTCCAGGGGGATGGCCATGCTGCAGTCCCTTCTCCTTCATTCTCCTCTCGGGATCTTGGGCATGCATGCACACATGCCCGGCGTGAATTTTAAGTCCCCAGGTCTGGAACTCCAACCACGGTCAACTGTGGGAATCCAGCGACGTACCATTACGTCATCTGCTGTATGTCTTCATCACGTCTCGCGGTCCTGTGGGGGTGGAATATTTCTCTTCCCATCACAGAGATGGCGGAACTGAGGCACTGCTGGTCCTGGTAGAGCAAAGATTTAAAGCCACTCATTCGATCCTTGAATGCTTTCCACGTAGCAGGCCCCATTCGGGCCCTGGAGATACAGCACTGAGCAAAACAGAAACCCTTGTGTGGGTGGAGCTTGAATTCGGTGGTAAAGAGCGTAATTAAGATTATCGCAGGTCTCAGTGACAACTATCGCGGCAGAACGTGTGGGGGTGGGGATCGCAGAGTCAAATATGGGGGCAGTGAAGGCCTTGCCTTGTTTAAGTTACTTATTGTTTAACTCCCTTTAACTTTGTCTCGTGTCCTGTGCGGATTCATGAACTCTGCATTTCCCATAGCACAGGTCTGCGGTAAGAGCTCAGTGTTAATCCTTTTAAGCTTTCAAATTTCAAAACCTTCAGTCTCTCTGTTACTATGCCAGACTCTCGGTATCTGGTCTTGGTTTTCCAGGGTCTCCCCATTCCGCTACCCACAAACCTCGCTCTAGAGTGGAAAGCCTCCAGAGCTCTTATTATTCAAAACGTGGTCCCTACGCCAGCAGTAGTGGCCTCAGCCCAGAGCTCATTAAAAATGTAAATGCTTGGGGCCAGCAGGTGGTGTGGTGGTTAAGGCGCTGCACTCCCACATGGCTGACTGTGGTTTGAGTCCTGGACCTGGCGGCTTGCTTTCTCACTCTCTCTCTCTCTCTCTGTCTCTCTTTGGTAAGCACATGTACCCTATAACAAATTAAAAACAATAATAGTAATAAATAAAAGTAAATGATTCTATTTTTTTTAAAAGAAAGGAGAGAAATGTAAACGTTTAAGTTCTGCTGTGCACCTGAGACATTTCCAGGTCCACGTCGTAAACAAGATCGGGGTGTGCTCTGAGCGCATGTCAGCATGGAGAAACGTTCCCTGTAGCACCAGCTCCCTTCTTGTTTTGCAGATATCAGGGGTTGGGGATCGTGGAGCTGCCTGATCACGTCAGTGTCTCAGTCACCTCCCCTCCGTCCCCTGTAGCCCAGAGTCCGTCCAGAGAGTAGCAGTCACATTGCGTTGGAAAGCCGAGCTGTGTGTCTTGACGGCAGCTGCTCTCCGCACGTGACTCCTGGAGTTCAGCAAAGCTCCCGCTGCTCAGCCACGTAGCCACATGTGAGGGCCCACAGGTGGCCGGTGCTCCCCTGCCGCGCCTGCAGGTAGCCAGCCCTTCCGCTGGGCAGCAGAGGGCACCAGGCCCCAGAGTTTGAGAACGCCCAAATTGTTAAGGTGGATTCTCTACATCCCAGGTTCCTTTCATGCTAGCAGAGCCCTATGCACTGTCTGCCCACCCATCTACCTGCCCTCCTGCCCCCTGTCCACGCACCCACCCACCCACTCAGGCACCTCAGTCACCTCGTCATGAACCAGCGTCCAGGGATGCAGTGGGAGGGCTGCATGTGTCTGTGGGGTAAGCTGTGCTTCCAGCCTGGGCTGGGAACTGGACACGTGAGTGCCACACTTCCTTGCCACGGGCACGTGGACTTGCACTGGGGACTTTCCACTGAGGTCTGGGCCCCCACTTCCTGCGTTCACTGGCTTTCCCTGGGCTGTAACCTCCCGGCTGCGCTATTGCCCATCGGAGCTGGTTAGTAAGCTGGCCCTCCTGGCGGAGCCTGGCTCCATGGGGCTGCCGTGGGAAGGGGCCCTCTGGCCTCTTGATTTCCCTGAGGTTCCAGTGCCCTCAGATCCTGCCTGACTCGCCCATCTGTGGCTGGGTGCTGGTTCACAGGCCAGGCCTCGGTGGGAGAGCCCCAGGGGGTGGAGTGGGAGAGGGAAGGTCCCGAACAGTCTCAGCAGGCGCCCGGCATGGAGGTCCAGCTGCCTGCGTTCTGCCTGCGGTCGGTTTCCACATCTCTCCTGTCTGTCTTTTTCTTTTCTTTCTTTCTTTTTCTTTTTGGCCTTCCCAGAACACTGAGACTTCATCACGTGTCACTAAAGCCCAGCAGCCTCCCCCTTTCCCTGCTCGGTTGGGAGCCGGCTCCGACCCTGTGCTGCAGCTCTTGTGCCTGTG